GTATGTGCAACGTTTCCTATCAGACATATTCAACAATACTCCCAACAAGCGTCGAAAAGGCAATGCCCTCAATATCCATCATTCTGCACTCGATCTCACGTGAGGTAGGAGTCTTTCGTTCAGAATATCCAATATTCTTTTCGTGCTGGCGCTTTAGTGTCGTGCATAGCTCCATCCGCCTCTCACAAGGCTCAGAATGCATCATCATCATATTTCAAGAGGTCTTGCCTCTCTCCACCCAACTTACCCTATGATGCTTTATCAGTTCAACAACCTTGTTTTCTTGGTCTTTCACGTGATCCTTTACTTGCCGTAGCCAGTCCATCTCCATCTGTCGATACGCTCCATCTATACCATTTCGAGGCAGAGAACTCGGATACTCTATGTCCATTCGCTTGCCCCTTATTCCATCTTGTTGCTGCCTACCCCTCCTTCCACTACTGCTGCTACATCTCCCCTCCCTCCTCTGCTGTTGTTGCTCCTCCCCATCCTCGCCTCGTCAGCCATGGCTCGGATGACTGCAGTGGCCATGCTGCTGCCAGGGCTGCTGGCCGGCATTGTTATCGGCACTGCCATCTCAGTGAATAGCATCACGCCGCTCGCAAGGGATGCCTGGCATGCCACCAGCACACAGGACGTGAGTCACTATCATGGCAAGTTTGACCGCTCTGGCAAGGTTGGGATGTTGGCCAGATTAAACCCTTGCAAGTCAGCCATGGCTTGAGTCTGAGCATGCGTGTGTGTTCTTACTGCAGCTTACACATGAAACCGATAACCACACAGTCAATTACCCTCTCACGGCCCCTCCTGCGTCTCGTAACCATGTAAGCAAATCCTCTGCCTCCATACCTTGTTTTTTGCAACCTTCTTTTTATTTTACTCCGTTGGATGAAGCCGGGATGCTCATTTAATGTTTTCGCACTGAGCCTGTGTGTGTTTCATTATATGTGTGCATGTCTGGGCATGTGTACGTGCATATGTGTGTCCCCCTTTGCATGCATGGATGTGTCGCTCCTTTTCAGTCCAATGCCACAGTTACTTGTCAGCATGTCACAAGCGTGCCTCTTGATCATGCACAGGCAAATGCGGTCTTGCTTCAGCATCTCCACTCCCTCCATACCCTGGTACGAGTTGAGATGGCCAATAATCCCTAATCTGCAGCAACCCACTGTTCTGTCAGGATATACTATCTCAGTTGCCTGCTTTCTTGCACCTCCTTTCTTACATCTGCGGTCTCCAGGTGCAACTCATCTGCTCATGGCTTATTCTGCCGTCGCCACTCTCATGGCACTGCTGTGGGGGATGGGCGTGACCCACACGCGAGTCAGAGCGTGGGTGCATCGGCAGGGTTTGGCTGTGACGGCTGGGCTGATGAAGCTGACGAGTGCAAGCAAGTGCCTCGTGGTATGCCATAAAGTCATGCGCTCTGCCCTCCAACACTGCAGCTCTGCCTATGTGAATAACTCTCTTTCACTCACTACTATTACCATCCACTGCTCCAACTTTGCCTCTCATTTCTCCCACTCGCGTTCGCACTCACTCCCTCGACTCCTTTGTGCGCTCACTCATGTTTCCCTTGCTGCTGCACGTCCATCTCCCATCTCTCATCTTCTTGTCGACTCCATTCCATATCTTCCTCACCCCTCGCCATGCTGCAGCCACGTGGAAGCGTCCCTCTGCAGCACAGCCCCATGTGAGCATGCCCTGTCTCGTCATCAACATGTCCCCACCTCCCTTGTCACGATCACCTCACCTCTCTTATCGAATGCTATGTGTGTGGATCTCTAACAGTGTAAACCGCCTTCGCGCTTTATTGCCCTTATGTACAAGAAACCCTGGCAGTGTAAACTTGTTCACCTTATGCCTACGCTATAAATACCGATTTCCCTTATGCCTCACCCTCGCTTTCACTTAAGTTCATGAACTCTTCCAATGTTCAACTCGCATTTGCTCTTCCTGAACTTGCCATCTCATTTTCATACGCTGCCATGCCTGTTGCCGTGCCATGTGTGCCAGTTCGGGGATGCAGAAAGTGGGTGAGGTTGTTGTGTCTGTCATAGGAAATATCGCTGGAGTGCACAAGTTGAAAGAGGTGATTAGGATGAGAATGAGGGCGCTTGGTGTGCAGCTGGAAGAGACAAGGAGGGAGTTTAGAGGGCAGGTGGAGGAGAGGGAGAGAGAGCTAGGAGCAGCGAAAGAGAAGCTGGAGGAGACTGAGGGACGACAAGTGGTAGAGATAAGGGAGATGAGAGAGAAGGTGGAGGAGAGGGAAAGAGAGCTGGCAGAAGTGAAGGGGGAGCTGGCCGAACACAAGGAGGCTATGAGAGAGCAATGGGATGTGGCTGAGAGAAGGAGAGAATCGATTTTGAGAGAATTGAGAGAGGAGGCAAGAAAGGGAGAGGAAGAAATGAGGGCGGAGTTGGCAAGGGAGAGGGAGGAGAGGAGGTGGGAGGTGCAGGAGGTAGAGAGGAGAAGAGCAGCAGACTTGATGGAGATGAGTGGGCAGATGGAGGAGAGGGAGGAGAGAGCTGGCAGCAGTGAAGGGGGAGCTGGCTGAACAGAAGGATGTTCTTGTGAAGTTGTATGTTGACCTGCAATTCAGAGAGAGTGAAGGCGATCAGAAGACGGCATGGCAGGTGTGTACTGATTGAACTCTTTCATAGGGCAGGCATGGTGGCACAGGGCAGGGATGGTGGCAGACGTGTTTTCCTTTGTCACAACAATGGTCTCCTTTTCTTGTCATTCATTCCCTCTTCATCCTTCTCCTCCAGCGAATTAAGTCAGCATCACACGGAACTGACCTGGTCCTGAAGAATCTCAGCATGCTCTCAGAAGCTATGCTTGCCCATGTGTCCACAATGAGGCATCTGAAGAGCATTAACTTGTGCGGTAGTTCAGGCTTCAGTGCAGAGGGCATCAAGCACCTCTACAGGCTGCCACTGTTGGAGACGCTAGATCTCAGAAGCACAGATGTGTCAGAAAGTGCCTTGGAAGGCATTGGGCATCTCATCAGCCTCAAAACCCTCTATCTCTGGAGGACCAAGGTGACTGATGCTGGTCTGGCGTACTTGACAAGCCTCTCCTCTCTCAGAGTGCTATTTCTTTCTGAGTGCAGCGGTGTGACAAATGCTGGCATGGTGCATGTGGGAAGGCTGACAGGGCTGGAGGACCTTCGGTTGGGTGGCACGGCAGTCACGGATGATGGACTGCAGCAGCTGACTGCCCTGACCAAGCTGGCATCTCTCCGGTTGCCAAATGGAAATCTGGTTTCCAATGAGGACGTGTGCAGGTGGATAGGCAGGTAGGATGACAGGGTGATGGAGGGAGGGGCTGAGTTGACTGCTTGGACAATAGTGAGGGGAGGTGCGGAGGGAAAGGGGTGTGGAGGAGTGTGCAAGTTGACTTGGCAAAGCCTTTTCTGTGTACAACCTAGACTGGCTTACGTGCGATTTGTATATAAATAGCAGGGGTGTGTATGCATGTTAGACCATGGTGGGGGCATGCACTAGGGTGTATGGTCTGTTCAAGTGCATTGTGTTGGCTAGGCTGGTTAGCATGCTGCTGCATTACCCGCCCATGCCGTAGTGGACTGTGACTGGCGGATTTGACCGATTGGCATGGTACACAGGGTGTGGTTGCATGGGATGGATGTACATGAGCATGCAAGCCTTGCCTTGGCAAGGCTTTTCATGTATACAACCTAGCATAGTAAGGGAATATGTGACTTGTAGCATCATTTAGAACCCCTCTGGCGATTACTACCACATCAATGAAAGAACATTATATCTGGAATGGCTGGTTGTGAATTGTGCAAAATTATTATAGCACAACGCATACCATAGGTTGTGCAAGTACACCCCAAATTCCAGCCCCACACTTCACCCACACAGTCATCTACATGGCAACCTAATTGTGTCCCTCAGAACTCAAGATGATTTTTCTGGGATGGGAGCACAAGTGAAGGGCAGGTATGGCAGTGCAGAGCACTGGCGATATGCAAAAACAGAAGCGATCTGGGAATGGCAGAGTAGTAGGATGCTTAGTATTAAGTGAGGTATGCAATAACGTATGCCCCTGGATCATACCAGGATAAGACATAGGCCACAGCAGGCCTATTGATGCATCATGCTGCCACAAGGAAGGAGGTGATGCAAGGATAGATGGGATTGGGCAATAAGAGATGCAGGGTGACAGGGGCTGCAAACACATCTTGGAAATGTTGCAGAGAGGGGGGGGGGGGAGTCAAGACAACTGGCAGGAAGGAGGTGAACGGGATGTGCAGAGAACAACCAGTCCAACCTTCAGACTTCCAGCATTTCCAGCACATGCCCCGAGCATCACCTTCCCATACCATGCTGACCCCGGGTTTTAAGCTCAAAACATAATATAGGAAATGAGCGGAGTGCAGGCATGAGAGGGCACCGCACTGATGATTCGCAAAAGCAGAAGCAAATTGGAAAGAACAGAGAAGTAGGGTACCCACCATGGGATGAGCTTTGGAAGGAGATGCGCGTGCACATCTGTGGCATCACTTCTGATAGGTCGCACAAGCACGGCAGTTCATGTATCATGGATCGCCATAAGCTGTGGACCTACCGATTTGGATTCCTATTTACCATCTCCGTGGCCATTGCTGTTGTGCTAGAAGCTGCTTGTGGCAGCGCCATGCCCTCAATCAGGTGGCATGGCGTGGAGGGAGGTGAGGCTGGTGGAGAGGGCAACTGAGGGAAGCCATACCATGGAGGCTGATGTTTGGCGCATGGCTATGCCACTGCTAGGAGCTGCTGAGGGGAGAAAGGGGGGTGGCAGGGGAAGGGAGGGGTCGGAAGGGTCAGAGATGGATGTATAAGAAGATCGGTTGATGTACGTGTGCCATGGGATGAAGTGATGGGCACGGCATGATGGAAATGCACGAGTGAGGTGCTGATAGGTAGAAGGCACGAGGGTAGGATAGGGTAAGCCATGAGTGTTTTAAACAAATAAGCTTCCTGAAAGCCCCCATGCCGGCCTGCCCCATTCCGCCTTGCTGCCCTGTCGTTAAGTGCCACGCTGCCCTATCTCTGCAGCACCGCGCCGCTGCTGCTGCTGCTGTTAAGGCCACGCCGTCCCATCACCACGCTGATGCTGTGACTGCACTCCACGCTGCTGCCCACCATGCCACTGCCAAACGCCATTGCCATGCTGCCATGCTGCAGGCGCTGGGGGAAGCGCAGGGAGGAGGAGGTGAGTGTGAGCATGATCGCGCCCATGAGGATGAGAGGGGAGGGAGTGAAACATTCCCAAGGAGCAGGAGAGGGCGGGCACCGTGCTGGACACACCCCCCCCCCAACCATCTGCGCCACCACGGACGCCCGTATACGCGTCCCCACCTGCAGCTCTTGACTCCCCCTTCCTTCCTCCCCTTTCTCACCAGCCCGCGCCCCTCCCCCCCTGCTACTCCATCCCACGCTCGCTGCCTCTCACTCCTCCCTCTGCCTGCCCTCCTTCGCGCTGCTGCTCCACTGCACCCACTGCCTGTCTGGCCCCGTCGCTTGCGGCACCCAGGTGAAGTGGTCCCACAAAGGAGCAGACGGCGAGCACGGATGCTGCGGGGCTCACTTGGGCGGACGGCGACAAGGAAGGAGAGCAAGGAACAGGATGAGCGACACGGGAAGCGAGAGGGGGGAGAAGCGGGGACGAAGGGCAAGGACGGTGGGACGGAAGGAGAAGGAAGGTGAGATGAGGGCAGTGGGGGCGGGGAGCAGGCTACAGTGATGGCACCGACGACACCGTAACCTTCCTTGGTGCCGCCACGCCTGAGGTGACGGCGCTGGAACAGCAGAATGGCAGGTACACGCACGCGACGTCGAAGTGGTGCGCCTTGGCGCGCACGCTGTACACACACTGCTGCTGATGTGGCAATCGTGACTGCCAGATGGTGATGTGTGATGATACGCGGATGAGATAAACAGAGGGTAGGCAGCATCAACTGACGCAAAAGCATCGGCGAAAGGAGGAAAGTGAGAATCTCCGATATGCAAGCCGGATAGAATGGAATGACAGAACCGGCCTTACATCAGGCCTATTTCTAGGGTTTCGCATATTGAAACCTTGTGAGGCTATGACGCATAGGCGTAGACGCTTGAATCTGAGCTCCGCAATCAGATCCGAATGCCACGTCACGATCTGAAATGCGCAGTACTAGCTGTGCTGTGAGCTTCACTCGATGAAATGACATGCGTATGAATTAGAAGTGAGGCAGAGGCCAAACGACGTAGGCTCTCGGCGCTGAGCGACTCTCAGAGAGGTATGGAGGCGAGCAGTTGAATGGCGAGACGAGGGAGATATACTGCCTCTCCAGCCCACTCACTAGCACGCCCCGCTCCTGCGCACCTTCTCCCTTGCGCTCTCCCTTCTCCTCCCCCTCATCTCCTCCCCCTCATCTCCTCCCCCACTCCCCTTCCCTCCCTCCCCTCTCTCTCCGCTGTCCCACGCCCTGCACTGCCAGCTCGTCCATCAGCCACCGCGGTGCCGCCGCCACCGCCGCCGTCTCCCATGCCCCCTCGCCTTACCCCTCGCTCCGGCAAGTTGCCGCAGGATGGAGGAGCGAGTGGAGGAGGCTACAGCCATGGCGCTGAGAACGCCGCAGCCCGGCCTTGAGGCGCTCCTTCTCTAGCAGGTCGAAGATGACCAGGATGGAGAGTGGGCTGGAGTACAATGAAGTGAGCAGAGCGGCCGGAAGGTCCCCGGGAAACAACGGTGGTAGAAGAAAAACAGTTTCTGTAAAGGGTATTGTTGTGCAAGAGAAAGGAGGGGAGAGAAAAAGAAAAGTAGAAAGGCAAAGGGAGATGGGACTTATAGAAACAACAGTTAACTTATTGTGAACTAGATATTGACACTCCATCACACCTTTACATCAATGCAAGTAGGTGAGGTGGGGTTTGCAACGAGCGGCAGTAGAACCAACAGGGGTGGGACAGAATGGATCCTTTCTGAGGAGGAATCGGCGGGGAGGGGCATGTCGGCTGGGAGAGGCGTGGCGGCGGGGAGATGGGGAACGCGCAGGAGGGACCAGGGGGGTGGTGGTGGGGGAAGGGTGGGGGAAGGGGTTTGACGGGCGACGGGGAAGGGGAAAGAGAAGGAGGGCCGGTGGTGGGAGAGTGGTATGCTTGCCTCCACAAGCACCCGCCGCGGCTGCTGCGGCTGCTGTGGTATTGACAAGCATATTCTCTTCACCGCACCTGAGACTGTTGCTGCCACTGGCCGGCCTTGTAACGCGCCGTGTTGTGGAGAGGCGTTGGGAGCAGTGGCCGCACAGGGAGCGGGGCATGGGGGCAGCCGGGGGAGTGGGGATGAAGGGGGAATGGCGTGGCCCCGGGGTGCGGAAGGCCCTACCGGCATGGTGTGGCTGGCGGTACGAAGCTGGGGTAGGCGGGGGCTGGGGAGGAGAGGGGGCAGCGATGGCATACCATGGCTTGTGCTGACGGAGTGAGATGGGCGGTGAGGGAGCGGATGGGGATGGGGACAGGGGCGCAGGCGCCGCCTTTCCCAGCAGCGACTGCGGAAGCTGCGAATCCACCTCCGCCACTTTCGCCCATGCCTCTTCGCCGCCCACTCCCGATAACACACCCTACCACCGCTCACGTCCCCCCTACCCTGCCCGTGTTGCACCCGTCTTAGTTGGTATTGTACGTTTACGGTGGTTTACGTTTACGTGACTTTACGTAGTAAACTTACGTTTACTTACGTGGGCTAAAAATGGCTTTACGTTACGGTCAGCTAGAAAGCAGTTCTAACTGCCCGGAAATATAAGAAATCATCGGACTAAGTGGCTGCATGGAAGCGCCTAATCTATCACTAGCTTGGTTCTTCTACGCCCAAGCATGTTAGCACAATAGTACATCAACTTACAGATGCCCCCAAATCTACACAAACATGTAGCAGCCTCTCCCACCTCATATCAGTCAGATTTTTTCGTTTCGCGGGCAAATAAAACTTTTTTTGCCCTGCCCGTGCGACCTTACGTAAAGTTACGCGTAAGAAAACGTAAAGGTAAACTCAAGCGTAAGTTTACGTTTACGTTGACCCCAAAAAAACGTAAAGTACCAACTAAGGCACCCGTTGCTGTGACCACCGCGGCTGCAGCTGCTTCTCACCTCAGGCTGCGACCACCCTGCAGCTGCGTTGGCCTCGACAGCGTGCACCCTGTCGACTGTCCAGCGCTGCCTGCCTGCCTCTCTACTCTGCCCCTCGCTACCCTGCTCCTCCCCCACCCACCCCCCTGTCCCCCCCCGATCCCCCCTGAATACATTCCGCGCCCTCCCCTCCTCTCCGCCCCTGCCCTGTTCCGCCAGCGTCACCGCCGTCACCCCTCAATCGCCGCACCCGCTCCTTCGCGCCCTTCGCACCTGCTCCGCCGCGAAAGCAATCTCCCTTGCTGAACCCGCGCAGCTTCCGCCTGCTTCCCTGCGCCTGCCCCTGGCTTTGCCGCATCATCTGCATCATTTGCCGTACCCCTGCGAGCGCTGAGAACTGGTAGCGAAGGGGAGCGATGACAGAAGCTGCATGTCTGCCCCTCTCGCGGCCTCTGCATGGCAGGTGCTGCCAGGGAAAACACAAGAGTCGTAGGGGTTGAAAATCGGTAACGATTGGAAGGTGCTAATGGGAATAATGGGAATACTGGGAGGTGATGAGAGGGACCCGCCCCTATCGCCACCTCTGTATGGTCTGACTGAAACCGTCGCCAGGTGCTGCCAGAAACGCACATGGGGGAGAGGCGAAGAAGTGGAAAGGGGGCAGACGAGTGCGGTAGTTATGGAAGGGGGAGATTGCATGGGCTAGCAGGTGCTGCCGCATTATGAGAAATGGGGGCAACAATGTGGGAGCGATAGGGGGGCGATGGGGAGCAATGGGGGAGTGTTGGGGGAGTGATGGGGGAGTGATGGGGGACCGACTGGGAGAATGGAATGGGGGGAACGGGATGGGGGAACGGGATGGGGGGAACGGGATGGGAGCAATCGGATGTGTGGCATGGGATGGGATGGTAAGCCCGACAGCACGCACCTCCCTTATGCGGTGTGCAGCAGCAGAGTCATGAGCCTGTGCGACCTCGCTTGCGCCCTGCATCAGCCGCTAGAAACGGCGTCCCCGCCTCCACGGAGCGGCGAGCCATCAGTGCTTGCAGCAGTATCTTGTTCACCTTCTGATCAATGCTCGCCTCCAACCCCACCACCGCCCTCTCCGCCTCACTCTACGCTGATTTCAATACCTCTTCACTCCTCTTCGTCCTCATTTCTAGCCTTTCTTTCCTGTCGCCCTCTCTCTCGCATTCGCCTCTTCCTCTCCCAGTCTCCTTCCTTATTCTCTCATTCTGTTCCTCTCTTCCTTCCTCACCCCCTTCCTCTCTTCTCTCTCTCATCCTGATTCGTACTACCTGTCTCCTCCTCTCGTAATCTCTCACTCTCTTCCTCTCTTCCTCTCTTCCTCCCTCAACCTCTCACACTCGTCCTCTCTCTTCCTCTCGTCTCTCACCCTCCTCTTTTCTTCTCTCACTTTCTCCCTTTCTTCGTCTCTCACCCTCCTCTCTTCCTCTCTCACTTTCTCCCTCTCTTCCTCTCTCTTCCTCTCCTCCATCTGCCCAAGCCTCTCCGCCAGTCTCGTCGTCACGCCAACCTTCATGGCGCGCAGCAAGCACCATCGGCTCACGCCCATCAGCTGCTCTAACGACAGCTCCTCCGCGCTCCCTGTTCCTCCGCCCATCATGCCGCTCGCGCGCATCGCCACGTCGACCTGCCGCCTCCGCGCATGCATTCCGCCTCCACCGAACTCCCTCGTTTCCCCAACCTCCGCCTCGCGATTTCCCAGTTCTCCGTTGCGCCCTTCTCAGCACAGCATCTGCGCTTTCTGCGCTGCGCCTCGCCGCGCAAATCGCCGCAAAGGGTCCAGCCGTTCATCCTCTCTCATCTGTTCTTTGCGGATGCCCTGGGGCAAAAAGAAAGGTGATTTCTGCTTCATCCCCCGAATGCGCTGCTTCTACTGCACCTTGTTCCTACCAGGGCCAGAAAAGGCGGCCTTGAAATGCGACCCTGAAAGTGGCTCTGAAACTGCGATCTTGAAATGCGACTGGTGTGCCGCAGCGACGAGGAACTAAGTGGGAGTGACGATCATAGGCAAATGAAACAAATAGCTTGGGAGAAAGGGAAGTCAGGGCTGGAAGTCATAGGGCGAAGGTGTGGGGGAGGGGCAAAGAAAAGGAGCAAGCCCATCAAGTTTTTTGTAGAGCGTTTTTGCTGCGGCACAATTTAGGTTTTGATACAGTAGTGTCAAGCTGTCACAACTCTTTTCACTTTGACTCACAAACGAGGACTAGGAATGTTGTGTGGCGAGCGCTGCAGTTCCTCGCCACTCCGTTTTGCCTTCGCCCAAAGCAACCTGTCGAAGTTTACTTGAACAACACCTTCGCCAACAGCTTCACCAACACCTGCGCCAACACCTTCTTTGGGTGAAGTCAGGATGTCTGGGATTGGGAAACCAACCATCCTGATTTCAGCCGAAGGCTAGATTTCTATCAGGCAAGACCAGATTTCACCGAAGATAGTGTTTCAGCCATGACAACAGCAAAGGTGGTCACTGAACAACAACCTGGGTCCTCTCGATCGCGACGATCTAGGTTACATCGGCAGACCGTCAAGTATTATTTCACACCCGATTAGTCTTTTGCGGAAACGGACGGTTGGATCGCACTTTCCAGTCACATCTTCATTGGACTTGGCTTCCCCATGGCAACATCCAACGTGTTCAGAGGACGCATCCACGGTGGGATGCCAGGAGCGTATGCGATCAGAATGAACTGTCCAGCACTTTTCTACCCCATGAGACTAAACGTGATTGATGCTTCTCCAGAACGATGGTCACAGTTGACGGAGCCTCGCTTGCCTGGGGCAATGAGAACGCGTCGCACAGTGTCGCATGAATCGCAAAGCGTCGCATGGGTGGGGAATTTGGCCGATGACAAAATCTGATTGGTCTCACAGCTTCAGCTTACATCAGAAAAATTGCAATCGCCCAAAACGGAGCGACGGGGACTTAGCATTTTTTTTTGTTCAAAACCGGCCTCGTAATTGGCCATTTACGAGATGGGGTGGGGTGTTGGTCTAGGGTTGGCAGTTTACCGGCGCGAATGGCATGAAGCGGGTGGAATCCGCAGTTTCGTGGGACCTCGGTAAGCGGAGGAAGGGGAAGTTGGGGGGGGGTTGTTTTCTGGCGGAAATGACCAAGGGGGCCAGTTTACTGGGCGGACGCACTCTGACGTGGCCTCAGTGGCTCGAGGGCTGGGGAGCTGGGGCAAACGGTGGTTTACGGCAGACAACGCGCACCTCTACTCGAAACTATTTCCACCACTCTATCGACCACGTCAGCGCCTCGTTGGTAATATTTCGTTTATACCTACGAAAGTCCTAAATCATACTGTTGTATACTTGAACACTCGAAATGAGCTTTAGTTTATGGCTGTATATGGACCACATTTTTCGTAGGTTTGAAAACATCATCATTTTGAAAAGCCGCTTTTGATCTTCTTGTTACGTCATAACGCTTACCATTTGTTTTATCGGCATCGTTTAACACATTTCATTATTACGAATTATCGAACGAATGGACCACATTTGGTTGTGGTTAAGCAAACAAGTCATGTATTTCTAAGTTAACGGTCAGTTAGTTTCCAGTACGAACATTCTACACATGTTTAGTTTTTATGCATTGTTGTAATATGCTATGCTTTTTATGTTACTAGTGTGGTACGATATTGGATGTGTTTACAGTGTTTGTCTTTTTTTCAGCTACAATACCCTACTTATTGGCGAGTCGGTCTAACAGGCTTTACCACTGAGTTCATTCCCACATCTACGCAGCACGTGACGCTTGTTTGTGCGCTCGATGGCCTGGAAATGTGCAAGGATATGACTATACGCAACATGTCACTGTTTCATCGTTTGGTTGTTTTTTAAGCACCATCCTTTCAAACATTTAGGTGGTTCGATCAATTACCTAGATATAGGAACTTGTTTGAACTCATTCGCACAATTGCGCAAGATATTAACGTGACGCTTGTTCGTGCGTTCGATGGCTGAAATTGTACAAGCGATTAGGCTAAGTACGCTAGCATGTCACCGTTTCATGTCTGGTTGTATTTTTATAGCACCATTTCTTCAAGCATTCGGGTAGTT